TTTTCAAGAAAAGTGGCTCCAGGACAAGTGAAATGTAGTGATTTTTGTAAAGTCTAAATCTAAAATCGATAATTCACAATTTTCTGTACAGCTCCTTCTGTAAGGCTGCCTCACTAAATTAGACAAATGACCACACCAAGAATCTTCTAATATTAGGACCAGGGTGGAGACATCTTACTCAAAAAGTTCTACAGGTGGAAAACAAACCCGCTAACCCCCAAACACCAAAGACTGTCTCCTCAGATATCTTGGCAATGTATCTCCGCATTTATTGACTTAATAAGAAACAGCATTTAGAGAAAAGGAGGTTGTGGCAGTTTGTCGATAATGTTTTTCTATTTGAGATCGTTTTTAATGAGTGTTGTTAGCCTGCTCATCAAGCTATTTGAATTTACAAGAATCCAAATTCTTGTGGATTAAAATTAATGCTGTCGACATAGACATCCTCTTTGTATTGTTGAAAAGAAAGTTAAAGGACACCAAACCTATGGGGGTGGTACTGGGCCCTGCATCAAATTAAAACAGAATTCGGAGCAGAGCACCTAATCAGATTACAATGGCGTGGACTCACAGGTAGTTCTGTAAATGTTTGGACACCGAGTGGACACGGGAAGTTAGCCCCTTATCCCAGTATTTCCTGTAAATATCTAATCTCTAGCTCAGAGGAACACTCCAAGAATCCTCTTGATTCACCTTACGAATTGGTTTGAATAAAGGATGCTGAGCACCCAAGTTTTACTTTTTCTCCGGGGTGGAGCTCTTCCCCAAGAAACTCTTCCACCCCTTGCCAAAAAAAAAGAAAGAAAGAAAAAGAAAAACGCAAGATTTATCTCCTTCTCTATAAATACTACTCCCCCAATTAAAAAAAAAAAGTGATTCCTATGGCTTCTTCTAACTCCATCTCTCAAAGAATAAAAAATAGATTTTCTCAGAACCGTTGAAAGCTGACCCCACCAGGAACAGGAGACACGCGGGGATCGCCGTGCACACGAGGCGAGCACAGACTTGCAACACCCCTGTCCCCAAGTCCCCTGGCGCCGCTGTGAGGGAGCAGAGTTCTCCTGGAGCTAGTGGCCTGTTCCTTTGGCGCGCCCTGCTGAAGGAGGGAGCAGGTAAACAGGGTATTATAGGAGAGGAATTGTAAAAGAAACACATCTTTTAAAATAAAAATCAAATGGACCTCTAGTTGAAAATCTACAGATAACCATTTAAAAGTGAAAAAGGGCCTCGGAGGTGGCTGCCGGCGGGGAGGGCCGTTCAAAACTCGGATCAGAGCGAATCGGAGCCAGAGGAGTAGGAAGGTATCCTTGGTTCTGAAGCTGCTGGAGTTTTTTCGCAGGGGAAGGGTGTGTGTGACATCTTGTTGGTTTGGAGATGATTTATTCACTCCTGCTGTAAAATCTAAAATGACGCCCCTGGGAAGAGGAAGGAACTGCCGGGCTCCGTGTGATCCACGGCTGCCTGCCTGATGCTCCTATGTTCTGACCTAAGCATGTGGGGGACTGTTAAAGCCGCTGTGCCAAAATGCACGGCTGCATGACACCTAAGGTGCGGCAGGGCGCTCCCGAGTCTCGGAAAGGGCTCCATCCGAGAAATGAAGGGGGGTGGGCGGAGGCAGGGGCTCACGTCCTCTAGAGCTGGGCGATCTGGAGCCCCAGAGAGTATTGGCTGCCTGGGGCCTCCGACTAATACGGACCCAGATCCCTGACCTTCACACTCCAAGCTGCCCTTCTACCCCAGGAGGGTGGGAGTCACCAGACAGTCCATTTTTTCCAAAATATGAAGAGGAGGCCATCCAGCGCCCTGCCCCTGCCTGTAAGATAAACAAGATTTACCACCTCTTCTCTGAACTTGACATGCGACCGTGGGGACTCAGTGACCTACCTTGATCCTGGATTTCACTGCCTCCTATAAAGAGAAAAAACTTCCAGGCTACCCTTAAAATGATATATTTCGTTGGCTCCCCTTTGAATCAAGATAATTGAGGCCCAAATTCAGAGTACCAGCACCGACTCCGGGGCCCCAAGGTTGTGCTGCAGAAATTCCTGGCGCCCTAGGTGTTACAAACGCTGAAGCTCCAGGGAAATTGATATTCTGAGGTGTATTCCAACTAGGGAGCACCCTAGAGAATGTTCCCGCTCCCCCGGGCTTACCTCTGGGGTGGTGGTGGGGGTGGGGGGAGTTGGCGGAGCTGGGCCAGAAGAGTGTGGAGGGAGGATTGGGCGGGCAATTCCATCGCACCGCGTTTACACCTCTCCCTTTGTGACAAATCGATTTCCCGCGTCACTGGTCTGCATTTGCAACCCGCCGAGGCCGGGGCCCAGCTGCGCCCCGGTGCACACTTAGTACCAGCTTGGGAGTGTGTGCGTGTGTGCACGCGTGTCTAATTGACTTTCCGTCTACCTTTTTATGACTACATGTGTTTCCAACAAAAGGTCTTATTAGGACAATCTGGTTTCACTAATTTAGAGGTTGGGAACGTGGAAGGCAGGCGCTTTTTTTTTTTTTTTTTTTTTAAGAGTTTGCTGAAGTTCAGATTAAGAAATGACAGCGGGATGCACCGTCCTCCTAGGAGTAGGTCTGCCTATTTTTATGACCTGTTCCTCTTTCCTCTCCCTGGCTTACCCTGTTCTACCCCCTCTTCACACTCCACACTCCCCCATTAGCCACTGGATTCCTAACTGTTAAAGAACCATTTCTTTTAAACACTTAAGGCATCTGAACCCAGAAGTCTGAGACATTTACTGGGCTGGGAAAATCAGTAAAAGGGAAAAGGGATCATTCTACAGAGAGCAAAGTGGAACGAACATCAGCCAAAGGGGAAACAGAATTGTGACGAGGAGTGAGGGAGATTAGCAAGAAGCTCTCGCTTTCGACTATGCTAAGGTCAGCCCAGGTGGTAATTGGAAAATTTGCAGGATTAGTGTAGATGGAACGAACCTGTTTTATTAATTTCAGCTGAAAAGAAAATTTAGTGAGGACATGTTTCCATATAGCTGGAAGAGTAAACCATGTCTTTTATGTGTTTCCCATCTCTTCCAAAGGAGATTATGGTTTTCCCCTCTGGGGTAGACTCCCAGCAGGCTGCAAGGGGCACCTGATTCTTAGTGCCCCTTTCAGGCTCCGAGCTCCGCGTTAGTCCTGATGCCTGAAAACTCCTCTTCTCTCCTCTCCTCCCCTCTCCGATTCATAGTCTGAGCCTCATGGTCCACTGCAGACTGGAAGCCTAGCAGGGCCCACCGGTCCTCACTCAAGTAGCTCAAAACAGCTCCCTCCGCAACCCTTGATGGGGGACCCGAGGACTAAGGACAAGGGTCCTCCTGGACACTATCGCCCCACTTACCAGTCCTTCCTATTGTCATCTCAGAGATGAGTGAGGAGGTTTAGGGAACATTGCTTCTAAAAGCAACAACTATTTGTTAGAATAGGCCCCAGCCATCTCAAGAAAGCAAGGCCTAGCGTGTTTCTCTGCTACTTTCAGAAACCCAAGTGTCGGTCACTCTGTCCCCATCACCTCAGTTTGCATTTCTGCTACCTCCTTCTAAACTGTCGACCATCCTTCCTTAAGCATCCTCTTCCTGGCTGGTATTCTACCTTAATTTCCTTTCCGGGCCCACTCCCCACTAGGCCTCCTTACTCCTTGCAACTTGGAGATGTGTGTGCTCCAGAATGCAGCGGGCAGGTACCTGGAGATTTCATCCCCTTCCCTCGGGACACACGGTCCCCAACTTCACCCGCTGCCCTTTTTTTGTCCTTGAGCACCAGGGCGGACACCACGTGCACTGCGCAACCTCAGCCACACCAGGCCTGGGTCTCACAGGAGTCAACCTGGGCCGCCTCCCCGCCACCGTGGGCCACCTCTGCCTCAGCTTCGAGAGTGCTTCTCAGCCGGCCTCCATAGCCCAGTCTCCTTCCATTCGCACTAAAAGGCCACCACGAACCCCGAGCTCCCTTCTGGTGGCGTCTCCTTGGAGCCAAAGGGCAGGAACGGTCGGCGTCCCTCCAGCCCTGTAGTATGCTGTGCCCATGGGGCGGCGCCGGCCGCCGGGGCTTGCTGTGGCCACTGGCCTTGGGCCTGCTTTTCACATCCCTCTGCTTGTTTTAGGGGTAAAGAAACACTGGCTGGTCTCTCCTGCCCCACCCTGGTCCTTTACGCAGCAGTTTCTTCACGACCCTGTTTTCTGTTGTGGGTGCAGCCTCCAGTTTTCCGAACAGTGATAAATGTTGCAATTAATAATTAACCATGGCGAAACAAGACCAGCAGAAGGTGCAGAAATCAGTGAAGCTGGGTGATAGGCACTTGGAGATTCCGAACACTATTCTCCCTATGCTTTGCATATTTAAATTTTCCCTAGTAAAATGTTTAAAAGCAATCACGTTATTTTGCTGTGCACTTTCCTGGAGTTCAAAGTGTCTACGCAAACAATTAACTCATGCTGCAGTATGAACAACGCACCCCCCCCCCCAGGCACCAATATCTTCAACAAGGAAGCCTCTGCGTCTGTGCCCAGCCATTACCTGGGACTTGGGGACACCAGGTCTTCATTCCTCAGAACTGGCCGCCTTTCTCTAGTGACAGACCAGGGCAGATTATTCTCAGTCTAAATTCCCCATCGCCTTCTGCCTCTGGGAATACCTAGGGTGGATTGACCCCAGTTCGATTTTGGCTAAAAACAAAAACAAAAACAAAAACAAAAACACCCTGAGGGGATTCTAGGTCTGGACCAAGGAAACTGGGCAAGGGGCAGGCGGCCTGCCAGAGAGAGGGGCTCTCCTTGCCGCCTGTTTCATTGAGGCATTCTGGGTTCCCACCGCTTTGCCAGGGCCTTGCATCCAGCTGTTTCTGGGTCCTGTTTGCTTTGTCTATCTATTTCCTGAGAGTCTGATATTGGCAATTTTTTTTTTTTTCAAATGATGGCATGCCGGCGGGGTCTCCTGTTTCCAGAGGTTCCAAATTTGAACAAAATAACAGTCTACAAATAATGAAATGGAAAAGAATTTGCCTCGTTTTAAAAACTTCCAGCCAAGTTCAGACTCTTGAACTCTCAAGGAGAAAATATCAAGCCCCATGTCACCTGGGATGATGCCGGTGACAGGTCTGTTACAGACTCCAGAACGTATGGATACACTTGGGAGTCACCTTTTAAGGTACGGTTAATAACGCCAGGCGAGATTTCCATGGGGGCGCGATATCAGTCGGGAAGGATGGGAAAGGGAGACTGCATGGACTTTTCCGGAGGTCTGAGGGCCAATAGGGAGAGCTCCTCGAATGTGACACCAGGCTCGGCATTGGAGCCCGCACTTCCCCCGCGCATCTCTCTTGTGCGGGACGGAGCGGGGCGGGAGCTCGGGTTTCACCCCAAAGGACACTCCCTTTGCTTCGCCCGCGTCTTCCCGAGGCACAGGCCTTTGATTCTGCCGGGGGTCTCAAACCCATCTGCAGGTGGAGGGCGGCAACAGCAGAAGGCAGAGAGCAGCTTGGCTGCTGGGGCTGGACGCTCCAGCGCGGCCCCTCCCGCACGCCCCGGCCTTCGGAGCCCGCGCTCGGTGTGCCGCGGAGTCGCGCGGGTCTGGCTACTGTGCGCGGTGCCCTCCGCCTCTCCGCCCGCCTGCCCCCGACCCACACTCGCGACGCGGGAGAAGTCCTCCCGACCCAATTCGGCATTTTTAATCCGCTGCCTTCCCAAACACGGCAGGCTCCCCGACTTTACACCCTCTGCGACCTTTTCCCTGCCAGCCCGGTTGTCCCTCATGCAGGAAGACCTGACAGCCGTGCTCGCCGGGGACTGAGGGGCAGCCCAGTCGGCTTCGGCGAGAGTCCGCGGAGGACAGAGTCCCCAACCCCGATTTCAGGGCCTCGGGGCCTCCCCTGCAGCGCCCGCCCGGGCTCTGCCCGCCCGGGCAGATCCCTCCTTTCATCATCCTTTCCTCCCTGTCTGTGACTGGCCCTTCCTCCGGCCACTGCCACCACCTCTCCTGGCCCCCGACTTTCTCCCCCTGGTCCGGGCGGGCTCCAGGCGCCCAGCGGGTACCCTGGCCCCCGGTCCCGGACACACACTCCCGCGGGCATTCGTCCCTCACTCACTGTCCTGCTGTGGGGTGTCGCTGCCGCTGGTGAGTCCCGGCGACTCCAGTAGGCTTCGGCCGGCCTCGCCCACGCTCTCGTCCGCCTGCGCCGCCACCATGTCCCCGGCTTCCTCCAGGTCTAGCAGGTGACTGACGGAGAAGTTCTTTTTCGCCTGCAGGGTGTCGAGGTTGCCTGGGCTGTCCAAGCGGCCGCCCAGCGCCGGTTGCCGCTCCAGAACGTGCCCGTAGCTGGAGGTCATGGTCTCCCCCTCCGATCCCACCCACCCCCCTCTTCCCGCTCGAATCAACACCAAACGCTGCGGGCGCGAGGGGGGGAGAGGAGCCGAGTGGGGAAGAGAGAGGGGGGAGTGGAGAGAGAGAGAGAGCGGGGGGGGAGAGAGAGAGAGAGAGAGAGAAGGAGGGGAAGGACAAAAAAAATTGGAAAGAGGGCGGGGGACCCCCTTCTGCAGAGCAGAGCGTTTTGCACCAACAGCCTTCGAAAGCCTCGGTTGCTTTCCTGAGGCCAAGTCCGGCGCGGTCCAAGGATATAATCCACACCAAAAAATAAAATTAAAAAGTCACCCTATGTTCAAGTCAGGAGCAAAAAAAAAAAATTCCTTCCAGCTCTCCAAAAGCGTCCACAAGCACACACTAAAAATAATAATAAGGGGGAGAAAGGAAAGGGGAGGCCAGCAGGGCGGGGGAGTTAGGCAAACAGAAGAAGAGAGAAGAAGGGGTGGGAGAGAAGAATCAAAGTGGATTTTTTTTTCAAGGTTAAAAAAGTTATTCCCAGGCAAGAGTTCAAGCACCAACAGAAGAAGGCTTGTTCCAGCTTTAAAACATCTTCAAGAAAACGTGTTCCCCCTCTCTGCACTCCTGTGGATTCTCAGGAGTGACTAAAGTTTCAGGAGGAGAGGGTGATGTCTTGCAGATGTATTGGAGAGCAGGATTCTCACTTTACTTTTCGTAAGAAGGAAAAAAAAGGGCTTCAAGAGTCCGAAGGAGGGTGGTGGTGGGGTTCCCCCCTTTCCCTTCTCGCTCTCCCCCTCTTCTTGCTGAGCTCCTTTTTCCTTCTCAGTTGGATCAAGAAGCTCTCTGGCACTTCAAAAGGCACAAACTGGCATGCAGAGGAGGCTTTGTAGGGAATACAAGAAAATTGGAGACCCCTGGGAGGGCAGATCTCGACTTAATAGGAGCCTGTAATTACGTGGCAAAGCCTTTGTGCGGTGCCTGACGTTTTACAGACCCCCTTTCTCCATCACAATCTCCTTCTTCCTCCTTTCCCTCGGACCAAAAAACAGTCTGATTAAGAAAACCCCCTTTGCCAACATCTGAGCCAGAGAGAAAGAGAGAGGGAGGGAGCGAGAGAGGGAGGAGGGAGCGAAAAGGGAGGGAAGAGAAAGCGAGAGAGCCCCTTTGGATTTTTAAAGTAAAGGTCTAATTATCATTCCCCTGCAATAGTATCACGGGGAGAAAAGACAAACTGAAACCCACAGTCACTTCAAACGGGCTGATTATATTGCTTGGGCATTAACTCCTCCAGATTTGTTTAAGATCCTGTTGGAAAATCTCATTTGCATGTTTTGATAACAGCTGCGGGGAAACTTGTTGGAAAAAATCCACAACTATCTCAATCAAATTTTCTTCTCTCTCTGCCCTTTTTTTTTTTTTTTTTTTTTTTTAGCGTTTCCTGCAGTTCTAACAGTTTTGGGGGGGTGGGGGTGGGGGAGTGTCTGAGAGAGAACGAAGGAGAGAGCAAGCAAATTAAAGCTATGTTTGGCTCCGTAGAGACAGCCTATTAAATAATGTAATAAAATAACAGGAGCGATAATAATGGGAGGCTCTCCCACGCTCTTCCGCGAACCAAAGGCAGGTTAAGGGAGATCTAGAAGGCGCCGAATCGATTTGAGCCTCTCGCGCCGCTAGGAATCCCGGGGCCAGGGCAGTAGGAAATTTACATATTTATTTAGCTGGAGGAAAGGACTCTAGGACTGTAGCATAATTGCTCCCTCCTCCCCCCACTCTGGCCAATTTCGTAACCTCTTCCGTGCGGCCAAGGTCGCTTCCCTAGGCGACAACGCTAAGCCGGGAGGGTCGCGTTGCCCAGATGAGAAGGAGGCAGGGGCATTCCTGGAGCGAGGGGCCGGGCTAGGGTCCTGCGCAGTTCACGGTCCTACCCGGGTGCCTGGGAGGGCGGGGGAGGGGGCGTAGGAGGAAGGACAGGGAGGGATAGAGGAACCCCCAAGTCTACGGATAATGCTGTGCCGTCCGTCTGCTGAGCCCTAACTTGACAAGGAACAGAGAGGTGCTGAGGGATTTTTTCATGACCTGTTGGAATTTGGTAACAGCTTTAATAGTCTCATTAGAAATGAGTTACTATATGACGAGTAAGTAAAATATTAAGCGCTTATTTGTGGCATTTTATGTTCTTCAAACATATATACACACACACATACATACTTTCCCATTGGCTTGATTACTAGACTTTTCCCCCCTTTTTCCCTTCTATAGCCAAGAGGCTCGACTGGAGAGAAAGGGTCCGAGTGTGTGTAAATGGTTTCTGGGCTCCAAACGGCCATAGTTAGCCCAGAACTCCCAGCCCTGATCTGGGAAAAGAACATTTGATGCCATCAAAGGGCTGCAGATTGAAACCAGATGTGCTCGCCTCGGTTCTTTCCATGCATTTAATTAAGGAGCCGGGATGGAGGAGACTTTTTCATCATTAGTCCACCCACTCCCCCCACCCCCATTTCCATCCCCTCGCCCTCCCCTCCTGCCCGCTCGCACCCCCGACCGGGAGCCCAAAGCCCCGCCAGCGCCGGGCCGTGCGCCGCGCCCGTCGCTCCATCTCCCCAGCGGTCGGGGCTCTAAGCAGTAAACATCTGTCCGCGTCTGGGCCGGTGCGAGCCGCGCGGCAGGGCTAGCGGGATGCTGGTGGGAGGCGGCCGCGCACCCGGGTGGGCCCGCACCGAGTGCGAGCGCTGAGGCAGATGCCTTCCGGGGGGATTTCCAACACCGCAGCCTCCGCGAGCTTCAGCTGAGCGCCACACGTGGCAGTGCCACCCGCTCGCTCCAATGGACGTCACTTAATCGCACAGAGAGGTCTTCCCCAGGCGTCCTGCTGGATGAGCTGGGGTGAGAAGGCCGAGTGGCCCTCCCTTCCCCGCACGCCGAGCGAGGCACCGCTGGGTTTGTCCCCGCAGCCGGGTCAGCCTCCTCCAATCTCCCGGAGCCTGCTCAGTCCTGGACCAGGCCCTAGCCTCTTCCTGCTTCTCTACCCTCATTTACAGTTGAATTTAACGTTTCTTTTTGTCCCGACACTGACCGAACTGCCCTTTGTGACAAAGGTCTGGGTAAGAGGTCAGGGGCTTCGGACACCCCCTGGACATGCTTCTTCCCCTGGAGACCCAGCGATCTCAGTCAGTCGAAGAAGATCGCCCTTGGGAGAAAGCTGCCTTGTCCCTGGCGTGCCGTCAGTCAGTCTGGTTAGGGACCAGGAGGTAGCGACAGGGAAGAGAGATCAGAGATGGGCCCTCCTCGGAAACACAGTCGGACGTCTCCACTTATATTCCGCCGTGTTCTCGGGAGGGATCAGGCACTCCCTTAACATTATCCACTTGTCATTCCTGTAGTAATATCAACCAGTCCTACCAATATTAACTAGGATGCTAACGGCTTCAACAAAAACATCGGACACATTTGCTTAACATTTGTCGACCAAATATGTATATGTGTGTATATAGTTTATATTATATAAAATTTTCTATGCACAATTCCCCAAAATGTCTCCGGGACTGATAGTTCAAATACCTCTGACTGTGTGGGGCTAGTTCAGCCCCAGCAGCACACCTCCTGCCGCCGCTCTAGAGGCCCGAGGCTGGGAGTCCCGCTCCAGCGGTTGGGGTGGCCTTTGAGGACCTTGGGGAGGGTGGGGCGGGCAGAATGTCTTCCAAGCCCAGAAACTGGAACTCAGGGTCAAACTAAGAGGGCGTCCGGGAAAAGGGAGACGCCAGTGTTGGGACAGGGTCTGGAGGCAGGCGGCAGGACCCCCTTTCCCCGATCCGGAGCCCTTTTTCTGGAATCCTGCGGAGGCCGCGGGACAGCGGAAGGCAGGCTCGCCGGGCTCTTCAGCACTCCGCCAGCCAGGCACCCCGTAGGCCTCCGCTGCAGCGGCCAAGTCCCAGAGTCCCCCAGCCTCAGCCAGAATCACCGCGGGGAGTCGCGGCGGCAGGGTGGGCTGGAGGATGCGCTGGGAGGGTCCCCAAGAAAGCAAATCCCCAAGGCATAGGCCCTGCAGATTTTTTTTTTTTTTTGCTTTTTTAGACTTTTTTAGGTTCTTTATTTTCTTTTCCTTTTTGTTTCTATTAACAATTACTAGTGGGTTGGATCCACACCCTGATTGTGTTTACACAACATTTGTAATTTGCTGAGATTCTGGATTTGCTGGATTGTAATTAAAAGCCATCGGGATAACCCCACAGGGAGATTCAAGATCGAATGGAGAGCCCCGTTCACTCAGTAAACAGTGAAAAGAATGGGTTTGTGCGGGCTAGCTGGCCAGGCGGGAGAAGGCTCTCTGGGACCCTCAGAATCAGCGCCCGTGCTCTATTTGGGGCACACAGAGGCGGGCAGAAAAGGCCTTCTCAGAGTGCCCAAGGTCGTGGCCTGGCCTCTCCTTGCTGTCCAGGCGCCAGGCCTTGCTCCCTAGCGGGGTGAGGGCGCGGGGGTGTGGGGGATTGGTGGATCAAAGTTCTCTCGGCTCAGGTTGCAGGAACCAGGAGGGCCAAGCACCTCTAGAATTCAAGAACGACCATCTGGCAGAAAGATGTCAGAAGTGAAGCTTGTGGCTGGGAGCATATGCTCATCTCAGCAAGCAGGCAGCAGGTCTGGCCTGGGAACTTAGAAGGCCCCAGAGAACGCTGTGGCCTGTTTAGTTCCTTAATCACTACTTTGCTTTCCCCATGTGATTTCCTTTTGGGAAAGGGTTGGAAGGAGAGCATTTCTAACTCAAAAATCTCTGAACATGTGTAGATCTTTCCTTGGCTTTCACTTTGACTTCCATCCATCAATCAGTATTTATTAAAAATCTGAAGCTCTGGGTGATGTAACTAACCAGAACCCTCTTCCTCATGATCCTTCCAGCATCTGAGAGTGCCTTTCCAACCCTTCTTTCTGCCCTACCCTTTTAAAAAATAACTCCTGTTTTTGGATTCCTCCACAAGTAAGTGGGAGCAAAGCTGGGACTAACAAGGAAATGTGCCAAGAGATCAGACCAAGGTAGGAAGGAGGTTTGGTTTCCAGCCATGTGCCCGTGGGTGGTCCTATTCATAGTTAGGTTTGGTATTGATTACTGTCCAGGGTTTCCCTGGCACTGGAAGCTGGCAGAACTCTGCCTCATCTGGCTAGCAGAATGTCCCCCACCCTAAGGAGCTTCCCCTCTGAGGTGGAAACCAGGAGTTGCACTCCCTGACATGATATTAAGCTGACATGATAATCACATGTGACAGGTCACAGGTTCCATGACACATAAACAAGACAATACCACCCTCATGCAAATAATATGTTTTGGGGGTAGAAATGCTTTCCTGCCCATGGTTGACCATCTAATATATATTCATTAATGATGAAACAGGGGAAAAGAGGAAAATACAAGATAGATTCTGCAGGGTTGCCATATTGTAGTGTTTCTGAGAAGGAGACTCTATGCCAGACTTGAAAGGAACTCTCCTTTGCTCTTCCAGTTCTGGTTCTTGAAATCATAAGTGGCATTTTAGGAACATTCCTCCCATGCATGGGTGAATGCTCTCCACTGACCCTCACTTCCACCCAATAGCCCTATTGAATTACATTGAAATTTTGCAAAAATGAAATAAAGTAGGACTAAAAACACATTTCCAAGTAGTATGCTGGTAATGTGTCCATCCTATTATAGGCTGGGAGGCCCAACATATTCAGTTGGGACCCAGTGCAGTTTCACAGGGGCCATCTGCTCCTCAAACCATTAGACACTAACTTTGCATATACCACCGGGCCAGCTGTAGCTAAAGACATCTGTAATCTGCACATTGGCAATGCAATGAATACTCGTAGACCTTATTTTGCTAAATGCTTCAGCTGTTATTGACAGTACTGAACATTCTCTTTTTGAAATTTCTTCTCCTTGTCCTCTATTGCTCTGAGCACTTCCTCTTGGTCTTCACAGAATATTCCTTTTCTTCGGCTCACTTCTTATATATTGCTATTCTCCAGGGTTATGTCTTTCATCCTCCCCATCCTTTCCATTAAACTGGTTGTTACTATAAGATCTCATAGCTTTTCATGAGTTAACTATTACTTGTTTGTCAATGAGTTCAGTGTCTAAAGCTTAAATCTTGTCACCTACTGACTATCACGTTGTGCAAAGTGAGCAAGGTAGTTACCTCTCTAAGCCTCAGTTTACTCATCTT